TTCAGGTTTATGCATAGACAATAAATTCTCATAATAGTTAAGATATGATTCGTTAAATTAACGTAATTGATTAAGGCATAACTTGTTTAATCTATATCCCTCTATGTGAACTTAACTAAAAATATTTTTATTTCACGAGTTTAAATTTTTGAAAGCCAATATGTTGTTAAATACAGACAAGAATGGAAATCACCTTAAATTCAACCAGAAGCAATTTAAAACAGAAATATAATGAAACTCTTATGCACCTTTAACAGCTATTAATAGGTTGTTATAATCTAATTAGCTAATTCTAACAACTGATGAAAGCAAAATCTTTTTATATACATGAGATTAACACTTTTTTTAAATAAAATCAACCATGAAAAGAATATTAAGACAATAACGTACTTTCTTCCTCAATCTGCACACCAAGAACGGCTACTGCTGTACCAACACGTCTACTTTCTCTGTCTGTTCCAGTACAAACATAGTTACCAGCATAGCTCGGTTGAACATTCGGAATTGTCAGGATACCGTTATCTTGTGATGATCCGTAAGGTAGACCACTAGAGCGAGACCAGAATAACGTTACCCTGCCAGTCTCATCTTCGGTGTAACATTCAAGACGAGCAGTTTCTCCGACGATACTTACGTACTTAGTCTGTCTTACAATGATTGTAATCTCTGGTCTCTCATCTGTAAATATTTATATGGTTAAAGTGTCATCAAAATCATTTTAAATGTGTAACATGTGGACTTAAAGATTCAAATATCGCTCTCTATGAAGGTTATTGCTAATAGTAACAATATCTATTTACACCTAAATAGTTACAAGAGAGAAAATTATTTTCACCTCTGCTACAGACAGCCTAGTATCTGAATATCTGATTCCATTTCTTGCATATCATATATAAGTAGTAGACTCAGTTCAAAAATAAATAACGAAAACTTATATTTTATATTTAGCAATATTTACATTTATATATGCGACAGAGTACCTTCATTAAATGAACGTAGATCACGAAAAACTAACTGTTAATTGTCTTAAAATAAATATGAACGCATTTCAGGTTCAAAACAAATACACAAAAGGGAATAAGGGAAAATACAATACATAAAAATGCATGAAATAAATGTCATTGAAACCCGAAACTAGCTTTTGCCTGGCATCTGCCTCTCATGTTTGAGGAATTATCAAGGTTTGACTTACCAGCAATGACGATAAGCTCAACCTCCTGTCTTGTTGCACCGTATCTGTTTGTAGCAGAACATGAATATCTGCCAGTATCATCTCTCTTTAGGTTTCGGATAGTAAGGGAATATTTGGGACTGACCGTGGCTCTGTCTGGTAACTGTCTTTTGTCTTGTCTGCTCCATACAACATTTAATGGTCCCTCACCACTCTTAACTTGACACTGTAACACAATCGTGAGTTATACCATTCCCTCATGGGTAAAGAGCTTCATTTCAGAGGACATATTTCAAGAAGTGTTAAACCGTATCACTTATTGTTCTATCTTTAAAAACTCGTCAACTTGCATGTGTCTAAGTTTTCAATACATATAGAAATGTTAGCAATGCGTGGATAACAATGACATCATAATATAATTTATTGTAGCTTAGAAAAGAAAATCTATTTTGTAAAATTAAGAAAATTAATCTAGAAATTAAATTATAAGTTTATTGATCTTGATATATTTTCAAAGAAGGATTTTTTTCTATTTTACAGTATGTTTAGGTCCCTATTTCTTGTTTTTACGTTTGACTTTATAAATTTTGTAATCATGCAATAGTGGCAGTATTGTTAAAAGTATCATATATGAATCATTGCAAATAGAAACAAAAGAATAATGGATAGTATAGAATTAACAAACAAGTTATAAACTTCTTTAACTTAATGCAAACAGATACATGTATTATGAATCAAGAAACATATCAAACAATGTAAAAAATTGTTAACCGGCCTTTGTTTCGCAAACAAATACAATTGCTTAATATATATTGACCTTAAAGTGGTTCAGTATACCATCCACCACATAACTTTCGTGAAAGAAAGGGGCTCAGAATCAAAATTGGAACTCCAAATTCAAATGGAATAATCTCTGTAATCAATTATTTCGTTTCAGCTTTTTAAAAACAATTTTTTAAACTGTCTTATGTACTGAATGTCATGTATGATTTAAAAAGAATTTAATTCAAACGAAATTTGCAAAGGAAGTTAATAAATGAGAACGTTTAATTTGGTATAATAATACCAAGGATTTGCAACACGTATAGAGGGAAATACTGAACCTTTCGTATGTAAAAAAATCTTTTGTTACAATTGACAGAATAATAAATGGGAATTAATATTCTTGAAACATGGAACATTGTAACATCTATGTGTTCCTTAATGAACATGTCATGTTTCGGTAAGTGAACTAAATTTTCTGACACCAACATCTTGGTAGGCAAATATATATGCAAACATGTATGAGAATTAGTAACATTATATCAGTGGAAGGCATCAATGCTCATATAATGTATATGACACCTATTGAAAATCATAGTTTCGATATTTTCATGGGCATGACTAGACTTAGAGGATTGAGAACCATATTTGTAGTCTCGTCATTTTGAACAAATTTTATAACTCTGCAAGTTCTTGTGTAAAAATAAATAAAATTAAACTGAAAATGTTTTTATGTAGAAAATGTAATTAGATCTAAATGAAGTGTTAAATGTGTTATGGAAGAAAGTATAGTTTGATAGAACTGAAATATCTGAGAAATTGAACTAGAAAGTTAAAGAACTATCTTGTTCATTTTATTTTAGAACTACAATTAAAATTTCATTTTAGAATGACAAGAACTATCCTTTACAATTTATTTCAGAATGGCCAATGAAATTCCAAGGTTTCAGTTTGTAATTTTTAAATGACCAATCAATTCTATTCTTTCTTGTAAATTTTACAAGAAGTCAATCTGATTTAAGTCGGCTTTCGGTCGAAAAAGAATATTTATCGAAGCTCTGGATTAAGATCGATTTGTTAGCTTCACACAATGTAAACCATGTAATGTTAACCCATCCAATACATTAACCTAAAAGATTCTCACTGAATTATTTCATATAATAATTCATAAAAATGTAATTTATTCGGCCTTGTTATCTAGCTGAAAATATCCATATTGAAACATAACCGATTCCAGTATTAATGATAATATCACGGTATAAACGGCTAAAGGCAAATATCATACACCGTCACACCGGAATTATGACCTAATATGCCAAGGGCGACCTAGGACGCATAAACGCCGTAGGGTTGACTTTGGAACACCTCAGTCGCCGGGAGGACCCTATCATCGAAATAGACGTAACCCAAATGTGCAGTTTTATGAGGAGAATTTTACCTGGTAAACAACGGTAGATCCCTCTGGCTCCTCGGCCTTCATAGGAGATACAGCAAGTTCCGGGCGCAAGTCTTTGCATCGGCCTCCTGACTGGGAAGAATCTTGGCTATAGTCGTCAGCACAGCTAACAAAATAGCATAATTGGTTAATTAAAGAATAATTTACAAAAATCTTTTTGTCAGTTTAGTTAAACAGATATATCTTATGCTTTTTGTGAAGGAAGCATGTGGCTTATTTATGTGTCTCATTCATATGTAATGAATAACTGCAACTTTAAAAAAATGCTTAAAGCTACATTAAATGAATATGTGAAAACATTTTGCCGTCGGCCTAAAAACCAAGCATTCTACAGTTTCATTAACCTTTTTAACAGTATTGTTGTAAATGTCATCAAATATTGTTCATAAAGAAGGATTTTAAACGGAAAACCCCACGGTAACACTAAAGTTCGTATACGAATTTTAACATGCAAATGAAGACTATAATCAGCTTGTGTATGCGTTACGTCACATTGTTATAAATGCTTTCCGGAACACAGCAAATATGAGAATATCTTGTGCAAACACACTTTAACCGTTGTAGTTCCACGGTGCACTTGGCCTGAGGTTCAGAAAAAAGTAATCATCTCATAAAACAAGATTAAATTTGTATGAAAACATCCGTTACAATGCGAAAATATACCGTTAAATTAGGACTGCTACTTAGAGTCATGTTTGTTGACTTAATATTGATGTACGGATGGTCTGAAGGCGGAGTTTCCCATGCAAACAGAAATTGTACTTTTTGATTTCGCCACAATGAGGCGGCCCATTTATTATGCTTATAAAACTCATTTTGGTTGTTTGGACACCAAAATAAGATCTGGAATCGATATGAAACCCAATTTATTCATGAAATGTCACTATTTCTGTTTTCATGAAATTTATTTAATGTAGCTTAAAAATATTTATAAATTAATAATAATCAAATATATTAAGTAATATGAAATTATTGAAAGCAACTACTAACATTTTACACTTTCTTTCACCAGCTTCAGGGCAGAAATAAACTGTTTTCACATATTCTGTGATGCTGTTTTGCAGTCCGTTATTTGAATTATTTTTGGAGTCACATTCATTCCATTCAAACCACCCAGTACACGTGGTCGTGCTGCATATTTTTTTTGAAAGTGTATCAATATTTTCTGTAATCAACTTTTTCAGTCTTAATTCAGATTCCTTTATTGCTGTATCGAAGCTGGCACCCCTTCCGTCCGTTTCTGTCATTTGACTTTTTATGTTAATATCTTGTGAGAATTTTTCAAGTTTTTCAATCCTGTATTCAAGACTGTCAAAAGCCTTAGCAAGAAGTTGAAGTAATGGATGTTTCATTTTTTTCCCCAACTGAAGCAGCGCTGACCCGATATTTGGTTCCGTTCCGTAAGAATCGGTGTTTACACATTTAACTCGTGCAGAATAATAAATCACTACAGAAAAAATAATACACAGTTTGGCTGACATCTGGAATCCAATTGCAATTCTGGGGGAAGAAAAAAAAACAGAATATGACAAGAAATAAATATTCTTTATCCACCACGAAAAACAATGTACAATGAAACAAAACCCGACCTATTACAAGGAAAAATGAATCCAATGCAGTTTTATGTAATGCTCATATACTTTTAAAAACGAATAAGGGGCCATTTCCTGTACATATTAATTGGATATATTTCATGAAACAAAACAAAACAACTTGTTAAATGGTATGCCGTTTTGGAGTGGAGTGGAACATGCAATAGACTATAATTACTCCTATAGTATATCAAACAATGCCAGTGCATCATGACGTTTTATAAGAGTTTCAAGAGTTTATTCCATAATACATCCGGACAATATTCCCATGCGTACACAGTACCAATCGCATCTTCTCGGGGCTTTCCGCCAAACTTCGGATAAGGAACTCGAACACAATAGTAAGAATACACAGAAAGGATACTGTTTTTTTGGTCTAACCTACGCTAAGAATATAATGGTAACTTTATGCAAGGAGTTGAATAATAAATTTATACTAATATATCAAGAAAAGCCCACCTAAGTTAAGTAAATTTACAGATATAACAGTAAAAATGCCTGCTGCACAGTAAAATAGGCCAATTGTATTAGCATCTTAGTCAAAAAATAAAGTTAAACATTCAAGGAAATGATTGTTTTTTTAAGAACCTTAGGATGTCTGTAACAATATTTTTGAAAGAAATGATAAGTTTTTTCATACTTTTCTCAAATATTACATCTTATGCGGACGGTAGGGGACGGATGTTACAAAAATATACTTAAAGTCTGAATATCTTACAATTTATAATAAAAATTGTATTATTACTCTTTATTTTAATAATATATTATGTATTCTGAAAAGTGTTACAAAACTTTTAAGATAATTCATTTTAAATATAAAAATATTTGCTTTCAAATTGTCAGTATTTTTCCCGCAAAATTTAATTTTCAAACATGTTAGAAACAAAGTGAAAAAAACAAGGAAAGGTATATCAGATCATACTTAAATCAAATTTGCAAACATATTTCTTATAAAAAAATTAAAAATTATAGGACTTTCTTATGTATATTTCTTGTCATATAATACTAAATGAATTATATCAGGGGGACGGATGTTACATTTTTGGGGAGACGAATGTTACACTAGATGTTTAAAGGTCATAGTTCATACTTTTTTGGTTTTATTTTAAAGTAATAAGATTTCTAAGAGTATTATGCTTTGTATAGTACAATATATGTAAAATAATTGAACAAATTATGAGAAAAATTTAGAAATATACCCGACAATTATGGAGTTTTTTTTTACTTTTTGCGTTTCACAATGAAAAGTTGCTTTGAATTAATTTTCTTCCAGTTATTTTACATTTGAATGAACATTGAACTGTTTGGAATAGAATTAGAACATTGATATTAGATGAAATAAAAGAATCATTGTTTCCAGATTATGCATTAACATTGTGTTAAAGAGAGAATGTCATACCAACGGTACCTTTCTATACATGAAATCATTTACAAAATACTTTAGTTATATAATAAGATTTATCTTTGTAAAAGATATGATACATTGTGAAGTAAATAAGTAGTTTTCATATTGAAACAAGCTTGAATTTCTCATTACTAAATACATAAATCATAAGCAATTACAAATTTTTATTAAAATTATAAGATTTAAATTGTTGCAATTAAGTACTATCGGTTTGATGAAATTTTAAGTAAATTAATGTGGTATGTCAGCAGCATTATCCAAAGATTTCATTATGATTCAGTATCATAAGCTCATTATTTCTAACTTTTAATAATTATCTTTGTAAATATTTCAGTGTACATGAACGCAGCTAAAGTATGAACTAATTTGTCATTCAATAAAATCTATAGGTTCAAAATAATTTGCGAATGGTTCATTTACAGAAAAATTTTCACAATTATCCCAACTTTTTCATTACAGGAAACCTAACCATATCCTTTACTTTCAAGTTTCTTCCACTTTAATGATTAAATGGGTCAAATTGTATGAAAATATGCTGGATTTTTTTTGGGGAAAAAATTTATTCAGGGTGTTGAATTATATTACTTTGTTTATTTTTCCTTGACTAGATCTACATCTTTAGCCTTTAAAATTTTGAAGTTCAATAAATCCGTTGACTTAATTCATCTACAGCTTACTTAATGACAGGCCTTTCCTAACAGATATGGAAGTCCCTCCCACTGTTTTTAAGCATAATGGATAACACCCTTAATTGGCACCCCTACTTCCCAATATACAATATACAACTCCCAATAAACAGCGTGTTAACTACCAATAATGTGCCAGCTCCTTCTGTGTGTATATTATATAGTTAGGATCCATATCCCACTGTTTTATAAGTGGCTTGGATACATAGTTTTTTTTACTATTTAAGGCTAAAGAATTAATGTTTTAACAATTGACCATTTTTAACTACAAAGATACTTTCAACATCTCTACCGTTTGCACCTTTTTCTATATATCCTGTTTTGGGTTTTGTGTTTGTTTCTTCTAGTTTTTTTAAACAGTATTTTATTAATTTGTAGTGTGAAACATTCCTATACAGCGACACAGCTTACTACTTCTCTATCATGCATCATATTTTTTTTGTTTTGGGTTTTACGTCACATCGACACAGTATAGGTCATATCGCGACGTTCCAGCTTTACTGGTGGAGGAAGACCTCAGGTGCCCTTCCGTGCATTATTTCAGGCACGAACGGGCACCTGAGTAGAACCACCGACGTTCCGTAAGCTAGCTGGATAGCTTCATCACATGAAAGAATCCAAAGTCCCTGTCGGGATTCGAACCCACAGCGGTGAGGGGCAAGTGGTTTGAAGTCAACGACCTTAACCACTCGGCCATGGACGCCCCTAATGCATCATAAGATCAAGATAAGTTTAGTATTACTGTAAAAAGAATCACTAGTTCATTTCTGTAACATCCGTCCCCTTTTGTAGCCTCAGTTTGAAAACACGGAATAACAAAAGATTATATTTGTCATAATTTATATAAGCTTAAATATTATCTTAATAAACTGACAGGTCTATTAAATGTTAAAAAATAACAATAATTAATACCAATAATAAATTTTATTTCAAAGTAAATAAGTTTTTTTTTTTCAGAGCAAAAAATACTGATTTTTTTACAGAATTAAGGAATTTGGTGTTCACAAATACTTTTAATATAAATACATCATTTCAGTCCTTTATTTCTGTTATTTCTTCATTTTTCATTGTAACTTTGGTGTTTTAGTTTAAAATTCCCTTTTCAGTAACAGTTTATGTGAGATTGCATAAGCACCTTATATAGGGGGACGGATGTTACAGGGACGATGTTACACACAACTTTTACATTATTGTATTTTTTTCTCATTAACATAGAAATTTGCAGTTTTTGTAACATTTTCATAAGAAGACTATCAATCAGCACCAGAAACATTGTTTTTTATGAGTATTGTTTTATAATTAGAAATTTTATGAGAGGGGGACGGACGTTACACTTTTTTCATCACATTTTTTCACCACTATAAAGCCTACTATGGTAAAAATGTTTGAAAATTTGAATTGAAAACACTTTACACATGTTTCTAATTATATTTCATTAGATTGAGACAATAAAGTACTTTTTTATTTGTAATTGTTTAAAGGTATACTTGTTTCATTAACAACTGAATTTTGAAAAACTTGATGCATTACAAAAGTCTGATTTTACTTAAACCATCTTAACGATAAAAACTAGGATGATATATACCAAGTATTATATATCATCGGAATGGTTATTAAATTGTTTCTATCTGCATGTAAAAATATTTAAGTGATAAATTAAAACAGATAATAGTGGTGTTAATTCTAAAAGCACCCAAAAAAGCAGATGCTAACACATTACATGTCAAAATGGGCATTTTAGGATACAACTAGAACCCCGCGAGTCCGATGTGTCGCCTTGTGAACAATATATTTTAGGAGTAATGGCCAGGAAAAAAATGAAATATGAAAACTAACAAAGGTCTATAACTCAGAATATAAAATACGCAGAGCAACAGTTTCTATGTACTGCACTTCTTATCTTATCAATAAGATCCATCATTCTATGAAGTTTCAAGTCCATATCTTTTATAAGTGAGAAATAGCCTGGACAAAAAAAAAGTATGAAAATTAGTAAAGGGTAAAAACTCACAAATAAGAAGTGCAGAATACCGGTTCTTGTACACTGCACTTTTTCTTAATGAGATCTATCATCCTATGAAGTTTCATGTCCATAGCTTTCATACTTGAGGAGAAATGACCAGGAAAAAGTATGAAAATTAACAAAGGGCAATAACTAAAAAAATAAGAAATGCAGCGTACTGGTTCTTGTGCACTGCACTTCTTCTTAATGAGATCTATCATCCTATGAAGTTTCAAGTCCATAGCTTTTATACTTTCGGAGAAATGGCCCGGAAAAAAATAAAGTATGAAAATTATCAAAGGGCAATAACTCAAAAATAAAGAAATGCAGAGTACCAGTTCATGTGCACTGCACTTCTTCTTTATGAGATCTATCATCCTAGGAAGTTTTAAATCCATAGCTTTTATACTTTCGGAGAAATGGCCCGGAAAAAAATAAAGTATGAAAATTAACAAAGGGCAATAACTCAAAAATAAGAAATGCAGAGTACCAGTTTATGGGCACTGCACTTCTTCTTTACGAGATCTATCATCCTAAGAAGTTTCAAGTCCATAGCTTTTATACTTTAGGAGAGATGGCCCGGACAGAAAACAAGTATAAAATTTAACAAAGGGCAAAAACTCAAAAACTAAGAAATGCAGAGTACCGGTTCTTATGCACTGCACTTCTCCTTAATGAGATCTATCATCCTATGAAGTTTCAAGTCCATAGCTTTTATAGTTGAAGAGAAATGGCCCGGACAAAATTAAAGTATGAAAATTAACAAAGGGCAATAACTCAAAAATTAAGAAGTGCATAGTACCGGTCCTTGTGCACTGCACTTCGAGTTAATGAAAGAAGCTTGCATACCAAGTTTGAAGACAATCAGACTTAAAGTGACTGAGTTATGCTCCGGACAAGCTTTAGGGGACGCCGACAACGACGCCGACA